AGGAGGTCCTGGCGAGTGCACAGAAGGTCCCTCCACACACACACACACACACACACACACACACACACACACACACACAACCAGTCCTTCTTGCTGGCTGGAATAGAATCCAGTGGGTGTGTGGCAGGTTCCACATACACCTAATTTTTTTTTATGTGGTACAAGGTGCTGCTAGGCAGCTCAGACTTGTAGTGATCGTCCTCTCTCAGCCTCTCCAGTGCTTGGATTACAGGCATGAGCCACCATGCCCGGTGTTGGTGGCTGGCATGGTGCACCTGGGGTTCTGGGACCGGTATGACATGCGGTACCGGGGATTGAACCTGGGTACTTGAGCTTGCCAGGCAGGTGCTTAGACTGCTGAGCTATCTATCTCCCCAGGCCTTTAAAAAAAACTTTTTTTTTTTTAATATTCTCTTTAGATAATAAAAAATAAATAAAACATAAAAAACATCAAGACTGGTCCCCCCCAAGTCTGTTGCATCCCGTCTTCCTGTGACCTTGCTCCTTTCCCTCATGAGCTCATTTAATGAAGCCATCTGCCATGTGGTGATGTAGACAGAAGGCTCTCAACAGTGGTGAATAGATAGCACCACCTGATCCGGGCCTTTCATCTTACAAAACTGTGTGCCCAATATCTCTTTTATTTAACAAGATGTCAAGCCTCAGTATTCTATTAGAGCAACACAAAACAGAGTAAGACACAGCATTGTCTTTTCCTTACTGTCCAATAACATGTTCACTTTTGCTTTGAGATTCATCAGAATGACCTAGATAGTTCATATTTTGAACACTCATTTCATGATTGTGTACTTCCTAAAATGGAAGCTTTCTCTGACATGTGGAGAATACAGCAAGAAGGGATTTCTCTGCAAACCAGAAAGAGGACCCTCAAGAGGAAGTGAATGAGCCACTACATGGTTCTTGACTTCTCTGCCTCTGGGAAAGTGAAAAATACTTGTTTGTTGTCTAAGCTGCCCCATCTATGGTATTCTAATACCTCCAAATGACTAAAACAACAATTTTCTTTTATTTGCTGTCATTTCAAATATATATGCCTGCCTGGTAAGTACAAGCTCCTAAGTTTGAGTCCCAGTTTTTTTGTTTTATGTACTTAGTAGAGGGTCTACCAGGTCTCACTACACAGATCTGACTTGTTGTGATCCTGTTTTTCAGCCTCCCTAGCGCTGGGATTATAGGCCTGCACCACCACACCCAGTCTCAATCACCCTTTCAGCATGCCCCGGGGGTGGGGCTGGCATGGCAGGCCAGGAATTGAACCTCTGACCCCTATGTCTGCCTAAGCTGGAGCTTTAATCCACTGAGCTATCTGGCCAGCCCTTTGATTCCCAATTACATATATAATTTTCCCTAACTCGTGTAGACTCTCATAAATCATGGGATATAGACACACTTTGCCTTGTGGCATTTATTGGAATGTGAAGACTTGCTAAGCCCAAGCTTTTTGATATAAGATCCAAAGATTCCATCTATATGTTGTAAGGTGTTATGGCAATAGGACTGCTCCTATTTTCATCCCAATTCCTGGATATGTCCTAATTATGGAGAAATAATTGTTGCTGCATATACTTGTTGCTGACTAAGGCATATGCCTCTAATTCTGCATCAGTCTTCCACTTCCAATGATGCACAAACATCTCCAACCATGAAAGATAACTGGCATCTTCCAACCAGCCACCTTAACTAAGGTTTAAGTGAAGTGTTTATAATTTCATCACACAGCTGTTTGTCAGGAGTACTTATACTTGCTTTCACATTTCCTTCCAAAATAGATACACAAATCTTTCAGTATCATACTATAATTTTTCTCTATCCATTCACTGTTTTAGCTGCATCCCACAAGTGTTATATGTTCACCATTACAATGCAAAATGGTTTTTTTTCTTTTTTTTTGGCGGAACCAGGGATTGAACTCAGGCCCTTGCACTTGCCAGGGAAGCGCTTATTCCACCGAGCCATCTCCCCGGCCCCGCAAAATGGTTTTCATATCTACTAATTTATTTAGGTGACCTGAGATAGTCTCACTATGCAATTCAGGTTGCCCTTGAACTCAAGACAATCTTCTTGCCTTAAAGCTTCCTGCGTGCTAGGATTACAGGCACATGACACCACACTCAGGTGCCTTAGAAAGTGCCATCTAAACATTTAAAACATTTGAAAAAAAAATTTTTTTAATTAATTAATTAATTTATTTATTTATTTATGTGTGTGTGTGGCCAGCTCAGCCCACCAGGGGGCGGGGCGGGCTGGCATGTGGTGCTGGGGGATTGAACCGCGGTCCCTGTGCTTTGCTAAGCTTGTTCTAAGTAGGTGCTTTAGACCACTGAGCCATCTCACCAGCCCCAAGCCATCTCACCAGCCCCAACATTTGAAAATTTTGTTACTGACTTCTAATGTTTTTTCCATAATTTTATTGAGAGACAAATAGTAATGAGAGTTTCAAATCAAATTGGTATGACAGTTTCAATAATTAACACATTGCATACTCTCTTCCTAGTGGTTATTTGCTGTACAAGATGCAGACATGATATCCTATTTACAAACACTATTAGAACAAATCCCTCTATTCATTAAGAGAATGTAACTATATATCTATCCTAACCATTTTTTTTTTTTTTTTTTTTGGCGGAACCAGGGATTGAACTCAGATCCTTGCGTTTGCCAGTCAAGCGCTTATCCTACTGAGCCATCTCCCCGGCCCCAATCCTAACCATTTTGAATACATCTTAATTTGATTCTGTATCAAGATTTACAGGCATTATTTTAGTCCTTGGAGGTCTGCATTTAAAGCTCCAAATATATTCTATTTTGGTTAGTGTTTTGTGTACACTGCAAATGAGTACCTACCCTGCAGCTTTTAATAGTTGTATATTTATATCTATATGTAGGTATACTGATATGTATATTTGTGTATATACACATACACATATATATGTATGTACATATAGATATGTCTAAGGTAGCTAAAACCTATCACTGATAGTCCAGTGGTTTTCGGAACTAGCAGGAAAATCACATTTTTCAACTGTTTATGGATTTTCTTGCAAACCTGCTTAATACATATTTAAAGCTAAAGAGGTCTTTGCAATTGACTGTTGACAGTGAACTTATTAGTTATTAAATGTCATTTAGCTAACTCCTCTTCTTAAACTCTTACTTTTCTGATGTTCAAGATAAACTTTCTTCTGGTGTTTTCAAGTTAGGCTTCGCTTTAAATTTCATTGTTCCCATATTTTGTTATTCTTTATAAGTGCAATATAGCTTGACTTTGTCATTGTATTGATCTTGTGTCTTACATTTAGGCTATGTATACTACTTACATTTATTGGTTGATGATTAGATGCCTCCCTACCCCACTTGACCTCTGAGGTAGGAGTGAGTGCCTCTGGAGGAGCATCCTGGGTAACCCAGATGCCAAAAGTGGGAAGGCTACTTAAGGTAGTTTGCCAGTGACAGCAACCAGATCTTAAGAGGTCAGTTTATATCATGGAAATTGTCATGTGTCAGGGGCTACAGTAAATACTGAAGGAGAGAATGTGAGTAGTTATCACACCAGCCTATTCAGTGATAAGGGTCCAGGCCACATCGCCAAAGAAACCCATCGCCTGATTCAAGAGAACCCCAACTTTCAAGCCCAGTTGTGGCAAGTGGAATAGCTCTGAGATGTCCCGGTCTTAATCTCTGGAAGCTGCTGACTACGGTAGCTGACATGCAAAAGTAAAATTGCTAACTAGATGCCTGTAAAACAGGAAAGTTGCCCCAGTTCATGAGTAGCTCCCAGTAATCCCAAGTGTCCCTTGGGGAAGTGAGAGGTGGTATTCAGAGAAAGTGGTGTCAGAGATACTAGTTCCTGGCCTTATAGATTCAGGAAAGGAAACCATGGCTGAAGTAGTGCAAGGTGTCTCTGGAAAATGAACAGGGCAATGCAGCAGGTAACAAATGGACGGGGCAAAAACTCACCGTAACACTCCAACACTGGCCCAGTGAACAGCAGGCTGAAGCCACTAAATTCCACATCATTTGTGACAGCAGTGGTAAACACATCATGGAATCAAACTTATACAAGTAGCAACTGCCGGATTAAGAAAGGTACAATTTCAGGTTTTAGATTTGGAGCTGTAATTCAACCTAAAAGGGAACACAGCTTGAGGATGTTAATAAGTATTCTTCTAGGTCTTAGCCAAAATATTCACACCAGTAATAAAAAATCCTATTAACTCACATAGAGTAAAATAAAAATTAAACTGTTGACCTAACATACCATGGCATAAAGTCAGCAATTGTGGACTAAAAGCACACTTTTTCACTCCGTTTTGTGTTATGTGTTAACACTGGACTGCAAGTTTATTAGTCTTTAAAAATGCCAGGCTTGGCAGCACACACCTATGATACCAGCACTCAGGATGAAACAGGAGTTTGAGGCCAACCTGGGCTACATGGTGAGTTCTGTGTCAGTCTGAATTACATAGTAACTGTCTCAAGAAGCAAGTCTTAATTAAGAAGACAATGAAGCTGTACCGAGTTGGTCATATGGATAAGAGCAATGTGATTATACAGATGCCAAAGTCACCAAGTAACTTTGGTTATTAAGTTAAGGTCTAGAAAAGGTACAAGGTTTAAAAAAGTGGGTGAGCCAGGAACAATATCCTGATTAAACAAGGTTAAAGTTAATAACTAAACAAAACCGTGTCTCAAACCTGTCTATGCCTCTTAATCCTGACAGTAAGTCTTAAAATGTTGAGATGAGGCAGGCAAGATAAATTAGTCAATGGGACCAAACAACGTTTTAATACACTACTGTGCACTCAAGAGACATTGCAGACAGCCTCTAGTATATGGTGTTCCCTGAACCCAAAAAACCAATTCAGAAAATGATGCTCAATACATCAAAACTAGTATGTTGAAAGTAACTGGCAATGGGGACAAAAAAATGAAACAAAGTCACACAGAAAATTACATGAGAAAAAAGACAAGATTTGGTGGACATTCAAAGCTTTTTTAATGTGGTTTATATACATTTGACAAAGTATCTCAGAATAAAATCACCCATGAAGAGGCACAAGGTATGTACAGTAACAGAACTGTGGAAAACAAAACTGCTACTTCTTAAACAGAAATGTTCATTTATAAAAAAATTTTACCATGAATTTGGAAGACTTTCAGCTCCTATGCATTACCAAGATCTTAAACCACAATAGGAGGTGCGCAAGCCCAGACAAACATACTTGGCAGCTAATGATCATCTGTTGGTATGAGCTGGCAGGGCTGCGAAGGGTAAGACACCAAATGGAAGACTCCGCTGGAAATAACGTACAAGTACCCCACTGAACTAATCCTCCCCTCAGCCTCTGGTAAGAGACTACAAACTACTTTCCAGACTTAACTCAATTTCCCATTAACAGAAAATCAGTGACCCTGAAATTCCAGCTTTCTATGACATGAAAGCAAATAAAGATTTATAGGCTAATTTTACACGGTCAAACAGAAAATAACTTGGTAGGCAACAAAATGTTTCTCAAGTTTACTATTATTTGGAATTCTTAAAACATTCCATTTTTTTCCTGGTGCAAGGATCAAAATCAGGGGCTTCACACATGGTAGCTAAGTGCTCTACCACTGAGGGCTATATTCCCAGCCCACCTAATAATTTCTATTGTATGAAATCAGACACACACACACACACACACACACATTTTAACTAGATGTTTAGAAGTTGCTCATTTATTAAATGGAATACCTACCCCTCTGTAATTCTACTCAAATATACTTCAAAGAAATGAGAAGTTTTATCCATCTGGAATATACATTAAAATTTTATTGATTTACAAGACAGTCATATAAGAGACCATGAAAAAATAATCAAATGCTTATGTTTTATAACACTATGAGACAAGCATGGTACACCACACACACTACCACTTACTAATCCAACCAGGCTACATAACAAGCTATGCTCTCAGCAAACAATACCATAGAGCAAGTATTCACTACATTTTAAAATCAAGAGGGCCGGGGGCTTAACTCAGTGGCACAGCACCTGCCTGGGATTCCCGGTACCCAAAAAATAAAAATAAATCAAATCTGCTGATCCTCCAGAGACGATTCAAAAGCTTCCATCAGCTTTTTATTTGCCTCTTCGTTATGCCGGCTTTGACAATGAGTTAAATGTTTCTTGAAGCCTCTTGGGAAATTTGATTCAAAATTACAGCGTGGACATTTAAGTAAACTTTGCCCATGGGCTGCTACATGATTTTTAAGAAGAGACTCCAAAAGAAATGCCTTTCCACAAATTGTGCACTTGTAAGGGCTGTGAACATTATGCTTATTGACCAAATGATGCAAAACAGCACCTTTTTTCATAGCACGACAGCAACAAATTTTGCAATAATACTTTCCTTTTCCACGCTTCATATATTTGGCAATCTCCTCTTCAGAAATAAATGCTTCTTTTTCTTCATTGAACTGTAGCACATGTTTGGACTGCTCTGGACTGCTCATGTCCATTTTGTTCTCTTTGCCAAAATCAATAGATTCTACATCTACCTGCTCTTGATCACTGCTGGACTCTTGGCCCTTAATATCTATGGCATCCAAGTCTGTTCTGATGTACTCACTGCTGCTCAGCTCGGCATCAGAGTGCTCCTGGCTGTCCTTCTTAATTTTCTTGGGAGGAGGAAACAGAGAATCTTCTAAAAGCTTCTTTGGTGTTGCCAAAAGCTCTTCTTGAACCAAAATATCACATTTTGGGTCTCCTATGGCATCTATCTGTAGTTCATCACCAAGCTCAGCTGTCTTCTGAGACTCTGAGAATACAGTAGATTTGGGGAACTCAGAAAAAAGAGAATGCTTCCGGGGCTCTGGGAAAAGCACACGTTTTCGGGGCTCAGGAGAAGCAGGAGGGGCAGTTTTGGTGGGCTCAGGAAACAACATAGATTTTCTAGGCTCCGCATCAATACAAGGAACAGGTTTCCAGATATCTGAGGCTGCTTTGGGGGACTCTGATGGACCAGAAGGACCTGATTTCCGGGTCTCAGGGAAGACAGGTTTCTGAGATTCCATGATAAAGGAAGACTTCCAGAGATCAGGAGAGCCGCCACGGGAACTCTTCTGGGACTCAGAAAAATCCAGAGAGGCAGGAGAAGTTTTCCGATGATCAGGAGAAAGCTTCCAAAGATCTGGCGACCCTGAGGGCTTCCTAAGCTCTGGAGAGCCTGCAGGGCTGCGGAGCTCTGGGGAAAGTGGTGGGCCTGGTTTGCGAATCTCAGGGGAAACTGGGGGAACTGCTTTCCAATGTTCTGGTGACAGGGTAGGAGTTGTCTTTCGAAGCTCAGGTGGGCCAGACTTCCATGACTCTGGAGATGTTGGGGGAGTTTTCCAGGAACCTGATGAGACTGAAGACGACTTCCAGGATGCAGGGGAAACAGATGAAGCTGGTTTCCAGGGTCCAGGTGATAGAGAAGGAATTGGCTTCCAAGGTCCAGGAGATACGGATGGAGCAGGTTTAGTTGGCTTCCAAGGACCTGATGATGCAGGACTTGACTTCCAAGGCCTTGGGGATCCAGGTGGGCCTGGCTTCCAAGAACCTGGTGAAACAGCTGAGGCTGGTCTCCGGGGCTCTGGGGATACAGCAGGGAATGGCTTCCAAGGTTCAGGAGACACTGAGGGGGATAGCTTCCTTGGCTCAGGGGAGACAGTCCGGGGTGGCTTACGAGATTCTGGCGATGCAGCTGGGGATGGCCCCCAGGGCTCAGGAGAAGTAGACAGAACCGGTGACTCTGGAGATGAGGCTGACGGTGCCCCTCCTGTATCTGTGAAAGGAGACTGTTTCTGGGGCTTGGGGTTAGGAAGACCAGCCTTCACCGGCTCAGGAGATAAAGGTGCAGGTTTCTGTGGCTCTGGAGAAGGAAGAGGCTTCTGTAATTCAGAAGCAGTAGGGGCTGGTTTTGGAAGTTCAGGAGAAGAAATAAGAGCAGGTTTCAGAGGCTCAGGAGGAAGAGAAGGTGTCTGAGGCTCAGAAGAAACAACAAGGTCAGTTTTCTGAAGCTCCAGGGGGGTAAGAGGAACAGGTATTGGAGACTCTGGAGAAAGAACTGGACCAAGTTTTTGTGTTTCTGTAGAGAGTAGAGGTACCTGCTTCAGTTCTGCTGAGTTACTGGGTATTTTCTGGTGTTCAGGAACAGAAGGGCTATTCATAGGATCTGTTTCTTTGTTTAACTGGTTTTTTGGTTTATCGTTCCATTTCTCTGGAGCTGCATGTTTGGATGTGATATGATGATATACATTGGAATACATCTTGCTGGTAAAAAAACATTTATGGCAGTGAAAAAGCTTTGCACTTTTCTGGTAAAATATCATTTTACCTAATCCCCCAGCATCCATCTCATCACAGAACTCCGGGTGTACGGTGCCCATGTGGATCTGCACATTCTCATAATCTGTGCCTCTGAAACTGCAGTGGTCACAGTCCAAACGCACTGATGGCCGGCGCAGCTCCTGGAACACTTCCATCTTTCCTCGTCCCAGCAACGCCTGTGCTCTTTAAACACTGCAACAACAGAGAAGAAATAAATTAACTTTATGAGACATAATTTTGAATAAAACACTGTCCTACTACTCCACAATATAACTGCACAACTTTTTTTTTTTGGCAGAACCAGGTATTGAACTCAGGCCCTTGCACTTGCCAGGAAAGCACTTACTCTACTGAGCCAACTCCCTGATCCCTTGCACAACTTTTAAGTCTACAACATCATATGCTTCATTTGAAAACACTTCTTTTTTGTGGAACCGGGGATTGAATTCAGATCCTTGCATTTGCTAGTCAAGCGCTTATCCTACTGAGCCATCTCCCCAGCCCCTGAAAATACTTCTGAAAGATTGCAAAAAGTTTTACCTGAGTCCTGGACACTCTGCTAGGAGTTTTATGAAGATCACCTCATTTAAGCTTCTTAACAGTATCATGCAGGTCTTATTTTCATTTACCGATGAAGAGATAGTGATTTCACTTCACTGTTTTAGATTTTAGGACTATCAGTGCCCAGAATTACCTACTGTAGAGCTTTACACTTCAACTCTGAAACCCTAAATCAATGTATCAAAATGACATCTAGGCTATCTGGGCAAAAGACATTAGGTCCTTTCCAGAAGGCACTTAGTAATTACACCTACCTATGAAAAGATAAGCTTTTTAAACCTGATACTGGCTTGATTTAACGTCTACATATTTTGTAATGTTTTATCCACTGTATTTAATTCATTCATTTTGTAAATAAACTTCTTTATGTGTGTGCTATTTAGGCACTTAGGTACCACCTGTGTACAGCCTCCCAAAATCTGGGATTACAGGCATGCACCACCACACCCCTCTCAATTGCCAGCATGCCCTGGTGGCGGGGCTGGCACACCTAAACAAGTGTTTAAAGCCAATGTGCAAGGTAACAGGCCTGTAGTATGAACAGATTCAACACTTCACTCTAGGGAATAACAGGTGCACTGTGTGGCTGAAGAAATACTCCTGGTGCGTACAAGTCCACACACAACTGATGCAGATGCGGCCACAGTAAGCCTCATTTGGTGACCTGTTTTAGGGATTTACCTAGGACATTTTAAAAACTACAACTGCTTTTCTTTCTTTATACGTGAGAATACATCTACAAGCCCTAATTCTAGAAGTGCATTACCTAGCTCAAGGTTTTTGCACTTAAAAATTATTGCATTTTGCTAAACTCTCAAAATGGTATAATACTATTACTAGTACAACAGCATAACTGTGAGTAATTCAGCTCGCTCATCAAAACTGAGTAAAACTAAAATCCAAATCTTCGCTATACTGAGGTAAAAACTGTCCTCTATTAATGTTGAGTGTACTTTTCTTTCATGAAAAGACCTAACAATTTCTCTTATTAGCCCTTTGTCTCTTCTTTAGGAAGTGCTGGGTTATTTCCTCAATTATTTGTAAATTTTCTGTAAATTATATACAAGAAATTAGTCTTTTTATTGAAATTATTTTCCCACTGTATCATTTGTCTTTTTTTTTCTTTTCAAAGTTTTATTGATAAACATATAGCAATGAGACAGTTTCAAATCAAATCGAAAGTACAGTTTCAACAAATAATACACTGCATACATTCTTCTCAGCGGTTAATTGCTGTACAAGATGCAGACTTGTGATCCTACTTACAAACACCATTAGAAAAAATCATTCTATTCA